AGTACGACACCTTACCCGAGGACGGAGACCCCATCCCGCTCGACAACCACGTCCACCGCTCCTTCTTCTTTGGGCCAGCCGAGATCTCAGCCCTCCGCTGCCGCCTCCGGCCCGACCTTAGCAGCCGTTCCACTGCATTCGATGTCATCACGGCCTGTATTTGGCGGTGTCGCACGGCGGCCTTGGCCACCGACCCCCACCAGGTCTTCCGGGTCGACTGCATTGTGAACTGCCGGAAGAGGTTCAACCCACCGCTCCCCGACGGCTACTATGGTAATGCCTTTGTCTTCCCGGCGGCGGTCTCCACTGCCAGAGATTTATCCGAAAACCCACTGGATTACGCGGTGGAGCTCGTGAGGAGAGCCAAATCGGAGGCGATCGAGGAGTACGTGATGTCGGTGGCGGATCGAATGGTTAAGAGTGGCCGGCCTCTTTTCTCGATGGTGAGAACTCTTGTAGTTTCCGATTTGACTCGCTTGGGCATTGAGAAAGTGGATTACGGGTGGGGCCACCCCATATACGGCGGCATGCCGGTACCGGGGATAACCGGGTTTCCGGGAGTGTGTTTTTACACCCCGTGGACGAATAGTGAGGGCGAAATGGGGATATTAGTCCCCATGTCTTTACCGGAGAATGCCATGGAAGCATTTGCTAAGGAGCTTAAGGTGATGGTGAAAGGGAATGATAAATGATTTGGAGGGGCTCAGGACACCCATCATCAATTTCGCCATGTACAAGTTTGCACATTGTCACTTGGAATGTTGCTGACAATATCATAATTTGTAAACGATGGGGCTATATTAGAAAAAACAACCCAAAAACAAATAAGGATTAGGACAACACATTTCTTGCTAAATGCAATTTTTTTTTAACAGCGTGCCTCAGTGGACGGGTGAGCACGACACTTGTTTGAACAGCATGCCTCGTCGCTTGTCCCACAGGCGACACTTACAATTTGGCGGAATGTTTCTCTGGCTCACCAGTGCTCTGTCTCTCGGCTTCCTCAGCAATGCGCGACAGCTATGGCACCAATTCTCTCGGCAACGCTCTACGACGGATTTTGCGATAGCTAGGTGATGGCATGCTGTGTGTCCTTGGCGACAGGTGAGAGGTCCTCGGGCAACGATTATGGGAGCAGATCAACATATCAAATGAAAAAAATGTGGCGATGCTCGGACATGGACTGAAATATTTCAGGTACTCAGATATGATTCCTGTGCTGGAGACTCGGGCTCGATTTTTCCTCTTCAATTACGACCAAATGGGCCTAAATAAAATCACGAACAAACACGAAAATGTGCGACAAATACAAAAACACAAGGCAAAGATGAAAAAAAAAAACAAATAAAATGACAAAAATGGATTGGATAGTAACATAAACGAGCCAATACGCAGCTTGACTCAACAAAACAGGGCAACGATTATTGCGTCTCTCACCTTGTTAGTCGTTATATGGTCCTAAGCCATGCTGTGTAGCATTTATTGCCTCGTACAATAGGGCATCCAAAACCACAAATATGTCCAAAAAAAAATAAAGAAAATAATGAAACCAAACTAGCCATTGTCGTTCAATTTGCACCTTTCATCCTTTATCCTGCAGTTTTTAATTAAAAAAATTTTAAGCATATACCTCATATTTTTTCAGTTTTCCCTATGAAAAATTTTAATTGTTGTTTTGCACGTGAATCACATTGCAAGATGCACAGTCCCTTGACAGCCTCTATAAATTATGGCTTCACATTAGTTTTCTCAATTACCCACTCATACTAACCCAAGCTCACAACACCTCCCTACACTCCTTAAAAATGTCATTACCCGTAAAAGTTCTGACTTTTAAAGTGACCCGAAAAAACCCGGAGCTTCTCCGGCCAGCAAAGCCCACACCCCACGAATTCAAGTCTCTATCCGACATAGACGATCAAGAGGGCCTCCGTTTCCATGCACCTTTCATGCAGTTCTACCGTAAAAGCCCATCCATGGAAGGAAAGGACCCGGTCGGGTTTATTCGGGCGGCTGTCTCAAGGGCGTTGGTTTACTATTACCCATTGGCCGGACGGCTGAGAGAGGTCACCGGCAGGAAACTGGTGGTGGAGTGCACCGGTGAGGGAGTTTTGTTCATCGAGGCTGATGCTGACGTGTCGCTTGCGGAGTTTGGAGTCAGCCCTCAGCCGCCGTTCAATTGCTTTGAAGAGCTGCTTTACGATGTCCCAGACTCTGGCCCAGGCTCTGGCGGCGTCACCGGTTGTCCGTTGATACTAATTCAGGTTTGTACTTGTAAGTTGTAACTTTGCCTTTCGAGACCGTAGCATTTCCCTAAATAAAATACATCGTAAAATTTGCTGAGAAGAAATTATACATAAACAGGGCCGGCCCTGGCCCAGGGCGACCTGGGCGACGGCCCAGGGCCCAGGCCAGGGCCCAATTCGAATGGGGCACAATTCTTGGGGCCTTTATTTGCCCAATTAATAATACAAATAAATAATAATAAGTAATGAATTTGATATTGTGATGATTGTGTCCGACCCAATACATGATGGGCCTAATTACAAAGAATCCCAAGACATTTAAATTAATATCTGGTTTTCCACAAACATTAATTGCAACAAAAAAATTAAATGCCTAACAATTAAAATGAACAAAAACTTTATAAAATAGATGTGAACCTACCAACCCATCTTTATATCTATTCCTATTAGATTATTTTTTATTTTTGTGTATCTTTATAGATTATGTATTATAAATTATAATCTATTTATTCTAAAAAAATTACAACTCATTGAATAAAAAATCATTTAATTAAGTAACAAACTGTAAAATAATATGAGTTGTTATTAAATAAAATTACATTAAAACAAAGGAGAGTTAATTTTCTCCACGAAATTATAAGGATGTATATAAATGTAATATTCAACTTACACATAATTATATAATTTTGTAAATAATAGTGTTTATGCTTATGTTTTAGGTTCATATAAATTTTCTTATAACTTATTTATTTAGCTTGTTGCATTGGAAACAAAGTAATTGTTGAAATATCATAAATTTCATCGTATGAAACGAAAAGGAGAGATTTTCTTTTTAAAAATAAAAAAGGAGGGGCATTTTTGTTACATTTGGCCCAGGGCCTAAGAAAGGCTAGGACCGGCTCTGTACATAAAGTAAATAATTGTAGCCTGTGGGTACGATTCTTCAACCCAAATAAATAATAAAAGAAAAAGAAAGGTATAAAAACTTGTATTTGTCTCTCAACCATAGTTTTTAAACCCGGCCCGGTGATTGACCCGGAAAGGTCTCCGGGTCACCGGGTCACCGGTTCAACCGCCGGGTCACCGGGTCAATTGTTGAACCGGATAATTAATTTTAAAATTTTTAAAATTATATATATATAGTATTTTGTCATATAAATATACATAAAATAACAAAATTAAATGTTTTGTATGTAAAATTTGTATATTAAAGAGATAATAATATTTTTTTAATAATAAATATTTACCATATAAATATATATACATAGTTTTATTTTTAAAAAAATAAAAAAAAAATAAAAAAATTTAAAATATATGTAGGGACCGGGTCAACCGGGTTGACCCGGCCGGGTCAATGCCCCGGGTCGACCGGGTCAAGGCCGTGTTGACCGGGTTTTGACCGGGTTTGACCGGTTCATTTGTTATCCGGTCTAATTAGCACACCCGGACCGGTTCTGGCTCCGGATCGACCCGCCGGGCCGGTCCGGGTTGAAAAATACTGCTCTCAACTTAAAAATTTACAACATATATTTAAGTGTATAAAAATAATTTCAAATTCTAAAACTTATATTTATTTTAATAAAATGTAAAAAAAAAAACAATTTACATTAATTGTATACGTTAGTCTTAATACGAGAAAAATTCAAAACTAGTCTCACTGGTATAGGGGGTGACAATTTTGGTCTCAATGGAATGCAGAAAATATGAATAGTCCCACAACTTTTTAAAAATGATCAAAAGTAGGACATTTTTGTTGGATTTACTATTTTCGGCTCTGAACGCCACGTCACGCACATGTGGCTTATTTTTTTACACGAGCTGTGGGACTATTCATATTTTTATGAATACATGTGGGACCAAAAATGTCACATCCCTATACCTGTGGGACTAGTTTTGAATTTTTTCCTATCTACGTCGGATACCAGCGTGTAAGAAAATAAGCCACATGTGCGCCACATGGCGTTCCGGGCCGAAAATAGTAAGTCCGGCAAAAAACGTCCTACTTTTGATATTTTTAAAAAACTGTGGGACTATTCATATTTTCTGCATTCCATTGGGACCAAAATTGTCACCCCCATACTTGTGGAACTAGTTTTGAAATTTTCACAACTTAATATTATTGTAGTTCATTAGAAATGTTTATCATATAAAAAAATATATCTTATTTTATTAATTCAATGAAAAACTAAAAACAATTGATCTAGTTAAGGTCAGGTCGACCAGACATTGACCGACGGGTATGACCGGGCCTCTTGTTGCCTAATTCGAATGACCATACGAAAAGTCCGCTTGTTGCTCGATCCGAGGGACCCACCAATAATGCTTGATGGCATGCTTCATATCATCTCTAATCGAAAAACATATTCCTAAACTTAAAAATTATTCTCTCTCACATAAACTTTTATAACTGTCATTCATTATTATCTACATATTTTACAATGTTTCGATGTTATACATATCATACAAGTATACAAACTAGATTTTGAAACTATCTTATATTAAATTGTGAAACCATGTAATAAGATAATTATAGACGAGAATTATGTACAAATTAATTTATATACAAGTTTAATTTGTAAAAATGGTATTATTTTAATTTGTTAACAAATTTTTATTTATAAAGACGATGTTTTTTGAATTTGTTATCTATTTTTAGAATGTTTTCTTTTTGTAGATAATTATTTTTGTAGGGATATTTTAAAAATATTAAGATTTATTTTTTGTATTTTTTATCGAATATATGAATTCATTTTTATTGTTTTGTAATTTTATATCTTTAATGAGTGAAAACAATATGGGGTTTATTTTATTCCCAAATTTACTATATTATTAAACCAATTTTAATCTTTTTTTGATTGCCACAATTATTCTGGTTTTATTATTATCTTACACGGTTACACCCCACATATTTTAATTATTACATAGTTAAGTTGTTTTATTAGAAGGTGGAGATAGATTATATAAATAAAAATAAAATATATAAATTAAAAATTGTTTAGTTAACTATAAATAATTTGATACATTTCTTTAGTATATTAAAATAAAAAAAATAAAAAAAAAAAGAATCCGAATTTTTGGTTTGTTGCCTCCACTTCCCACTGTCGTCGTCCGATCGTCGACCGCTGCCATTGGGGGCGAGGCAGGGTGAGGAGTTCGGAGATGTCCCGAATTTCGGTGGGTCGCTGTTTGTAGTATTTTTGGGCAATTGGTAACTGAGTTACCCGGACTCGGGTCGTTCTCAAAGGAAGGCTCTTCGAACTTTGTTCACTATCTAGTCGCCAAAACACACAACCGAAAAGGTCCTAAATATGCTACTCGCAATTTGGGGGTTTGAATTTAAGCTAAACTAATCTACGAAATGAGGGCAATTGAAAGCACTTAACAAGGCAAGAAAAAGCACGCAAGAAGATGAGAGAAATCAAGGGGGAAAGAGAGATTTTGGTTCGCCGGAGTCTCTATGATCAAACACGCACAAATAACCGAACATTGTCATGCTAGCTAAAACCGTAGGTAGCTAAACCAAACTCTAGCACAAAACGAGCAAGCATTTAACTCCTAATCACACTTAGTCAAGCATTCACGATCCAAAGATTCAATATTTTCCTCCAAGCAACTCAACTCAAGCACGATATCAATTTTTAAAAAAGCA